TGGGGAGCCCCTGATCTAATCCAACTAGTGTACTTTCAGGAAGAGGAGATCCAGACACACAAAAAGACACCGAGGACTTTTACACAGAGAGAAAAGACCACGGGAGGTTTCACTGAGGAAAACTTCGCCAGCCTAGGACGGTATCTCTGAAGTTAGTTTCTCAACACCTTAACCTTGAATTCCTAGCCACAAGGGCTCTTAGGAAATGCAGTGTGATCACTTAAGCCACCTCATCTCTGGCGATGTCTGGGCCACAGTCCTTGCGAAGCAGTAAACCATCTGTTATACGTAATATAATTGTGGCATTGGTGGTTTTGCCTCTGTCTCACTCACTTTACTGGAGACCTACGAGGACAGACAACGAGCTTGTCTCCTGTAGCTCCACGATCCCAGAACAGTGCCTGGCGAGTCCAAGCTCAGTAATCGCTTCCTGTGTGATGAGCGGCTGATTCTTCCCCTCCCTGCTCCATCCAGGTCACCACTGTGTCTAGCCTAGCTCCAGAATGCTCTTCCTTATAGTTTCCCCCATACACCGGATAGCACCTTTCATGAGTTAGCTGAAAGCATTCCATCTGCAAATAAGCCCTTCTGGCTTTGCCTCCCTGCACTTATGACTAATATCCACCCACAATGACGCCTGAGGCCCTGAGTGTTGAGGTCCCAGTTCACCTGCCCAAAATTCACCTGGGACATAGATTGCTGTACTCCACCTACCAGGACACACTGTCAGCATGGGGCTGTTACCCAGTGCAGGGATTCTGCCCTTGCTGTTCCCTCACCTTAGAAGCCCCCTCCCCAAATTTTTAGAAAGCAAACCCTTTTCCATGATTAGGGTCCCAGCTCTGGTCACATCTTTGAAAACACATCCCATGACCACACTGTCTGCATGTCCCACTTCCTATATTTATACTATTCACAACACTTTCCCATATCCCAAACCATCCATTGAGATCTAGTATTAGATACTCAACTTCTTTCCCCTTCTCGCCCCCTGCTAGGTAAACACCCAAGCACAGGTGTTCATGCTTAACTATCTGCTACACCCAGAAAAGCTCAAGAAAACACACCACTCACAATCAATAACTTACTTGCTGAAATGAAGAAAGGGTAAAACCCTGGGCTAGCAGTGACCTGAGTGTAGGAGCCGTGAGTGTACCTCAGGGGACTACACACCCTGGCAGTGTTTGCACATCTCCTTAGTGTGATTTTCTCTGACTCCAGCTACTCTTTCATGGGTCTCACATTGTGTTTTCTAGCAAGGATGTGCTTTAAGCCTCCTGAGCGCTGGGCTTGAACACTGCCACAATACGCCATGCAGAAATAAAGCCAAGGTCATGTCTTCTAGAGTTATGGCCCACGGTCCATTTGCTGGGTAACCGACTCTCAGCAATTCTATAACTATGCAATCCACACTTCTCAGCAGGAGGAGGATGGGGCTATTAGGAGAATCTTAAATTCCCAGACATCCTAGTGAAAACAGAGAAGATTCCCAATGATCCTTATGGTTTTGTAGGTAAAAAGCCATCCAAATGCGCTTCAGGGGTTCTCTCGTCCAGCGATACAACGAAGAGAAGGGAGTACCTGCTGGTGATGGACAGGACTCGGAGATAAGACAGTGAAGCTGGTCAAGAGATGAGCATCAAGGTATTATGGTGAAAGTGAGGTTTCCAACAGGAACACGGAGCACTAGGACCCAAGGTCTGACCAGCATGCTGTATTCTGCTGGAGAAAACCAAGGGTTACCAGGACCAAGCCCAGGCATAAAAACAATGAGCTTTGGAGGCAAAGGTGGGTGTGCTCTATGGCGATAGACACATGCAGGATGTAAGGAGATAAAAGGCTTATGGGGGAGACTGCTCAACACTGAAGAATGCATAGGGTTGGATGTGTAGTTTAATGGATGTGAGAAGAACAGGTGTTCCTGACACCATTGTCCAGTCTTAGAATACAGATCATTCCCTAGTGGGTATCTGACATTGATGAAACTCATGAGGATCAAGGGAGGGAGACAGTCAGGACAGGCAAGGGGAACCCATCTGTATGTCTTCCATTGAAACCCTGCATTGTTGGGGATTTTGGATCCTCTTCACATGATTCTGACTTCCGCAGAGATATTTCCCAAGCAGGAGTCAGTGGACATAACCACCTAAGACACTCTGAAAGGCTTGAGACATAACCCAGACGATAGCAAGAACAACAGAGAACCCAGTCTACCTTGTGTTTCTAGTGGCTGGTTTATCGCTGAGAGAGAGCGTCTCTTACATAGACATCAGACCCAGTTCCCCTTAATATTGTTTGGAACTTGGAACTGGCCATAATTTTTTTTCCGGAGAAGGTGCTTTAAGCCAACGAGTCAGATCATGGTGGTCTTCTCCCCGGAAGTGGGAAGGAAATGATAATAGAAGATCTGACAAACGAATGGCAACAGAAGCGGAAAGATTCATTTCAATGGCAGCAGCACAGTGGGGCTGATGTGAGACTCATGCCCAGATGTGTGTGTGTGTTGGGGAGTGGTCATGTGAGGCTATTAAAAGGCACACAGAGAAGAACTCAGGATGCCTCTTGAGGTGGTGGTAAGCTGCCCCATTACCCATAGCCTAACTGTTGGGGTTTGAATGATTTGTCTTCCCAACTCACACCAAGTTGAATCCCCAAAGTCAAGTGACACCAAGAGGGTAGGGTCTGACAGTGACATTTAGAATGGGCTGTTTCAGAATTAGGTAAGGCGTGGACAAATTCTTCACAGTGGAGCATGAACAATTCAATCCTGGTGTTAGACAGAGATTTGACACCCATGTGTGTCCTCCCTCCGTGTTTCCATGTGATGTTCTTCTCTGATCCGGAACTCTACAAGCTGGAACGCTATCACCAGGCCCCAGTCTATGCCAGTGTTATGCCCTTGGACCTCTAAAAACTGTGACCTAATAAACCTCTTTTCTTTACAAAGCTAGTTTGCTTGTACTAAGAGTACTATTTATAACAGTAAGTGCCTGAATCAAAAACATATTGAGAATTCTCAAATAAATAACTTAATGATGCCCAAATAGTAGATGGAAAGAGATAATCAAAATCAGGACTGAAATTAATGGAGTAGCAAAACTACGACAAATAATCAATAGAACAATGAGATGGTTCTTGGAAAAGATCAATAAGATTGGCAAGTTTGTAGACAAGTTTACTAAAATAAATACAAAAAGACACAAATTAGTAAAATTAGAAATGTTTGGGAAAGAAACACTAGAACAGATACCCATGAAATTTGGAAAAACAAAAATAAGAACATGTTTTAAAAGCTTCCACTATACTAAACTGAAAAAAAATCTAAAGGAAATGGAAAAATATAGATGCAGACAACATACCAAAATTAAATCAACATGAAATAAAAATATTAAACCGGTCTCTAACGAGCAGCAAGATTGAAATAGTAGTTACAAGTCTCCCAACTGAAAACAAGGCCAGCACTGGATGAGTTCACTGCAGAATTCTACAAAACCTTCAAAAAGGAACAACTCAGCTCTGTATGGGATGTCTATGGCAGTCTGCCTCCCCAGACTCAGGAAACACAGCAGAAGAGGAGCCTGAAGGAATGGAAGAGCGAGAAGATAAGGGGTGGGCGTGAGCTGCTGCCCTTTGGGCAAGGCATGGCTGTTGTACAAGTGAATTCATATTCTCTGTGGTTTCCTACACATGGCCTGCATAAAATCGATCCAGTTAAAAATCCTAGCAAGAATAGAGTAAGGGCTCCCTAGAGCCTCCACTCCTGGCTGAGGAACTATTGGCAGCTGATGGCTGCAATATGTCATGGGAACAGGAAGTTTCTCTTTTCTCTAGGTGTGTGATCACTGGCAGTTCCCCATACCCCAAGGATGAACTCAACAACCACACATATATGGAAAGCATTAATTAGACTCTGTGGATTTTAATTAATTAATTAATAAGCAAGCAAGAGAGAGAGAGTGGGGGAACAAGTATTTGAAGCTGGGAGGGAGATATAATGTGGGACCCTGGGGGGGAACTAATACACAGATATAATCAAAAAAACACTACATTACATGTATGAGATTGTCAAAGAAAAAAATGAAGATTTGTTTTAAATGTCAGTCTGCCATGGGTATTTCATCCTACTAAAATCTATTTAACTCAGTGTCTTATGGTCACATGGAAGAGTTGAGGAACCTCTGGGAGTCATCTAGAACTAAATAGCTGCCAAGAAACTGGTTGGAATATAAAACACAGTGCTTCCAAACTGAGGACCTGGCATCCCAGCCACCTCTGGCAGTGGCTTCCCTGATCCCTTAGGCATCCCCAGACTAGAGTCTTCCAACCTATGAGGTATAATATCAGCACAACCGCCTGCACCCGGGACTTGGTTGCACAGGGGCTGTGTGGCCCCTACTGAGGCACATTCAAATGTCTTTGACTGAATGCAGCAAAGAGGGAAATTTCAAGGAGGAGTGAGTGGCATGCCACTGAGGACTTGACACTGTACCATTAGTATGAACCATGGTAATCTTGCCCTACACCTACACAGTGCTGATACGTGTGTTTAAAGCTATTTGTAAAGAATTAATAGCTCTGGGGTCCTTTTCCTTGTGGGTGAAGAGTATGCTAATTTGTTTCCTGTTTAATGTTGTTCTTTTTATTTTTTTTAAAAGACAATTGCAGAAGATTCTATCCAAAGGCCTCTAATTCTTCCACTTCAGTGGTCTGAATCCCACTAATAAACAATCAGGACTTTAGACTCTCTTAGTAATGGAGAGAGATTCAGACAAATTGTTTTTGCCAGTCTCTGCAAATTCCTGGAGGTTCTGCCTCTTGAACCGGCCAGCAAAATTATGGATTTCTTCGGGACTGATTGCATTGGGTGTGTAAGCAGTTTTGAAGGATTAAAAGAGAGCAAGTGAGATGGCTGTGAGCTGAATGAATAGGGGCACTGCATCCTTGCGACTACCCAGTCTGGCACGGAGAGAGGATGTGTCAGGGGAAATGGATAGACTTACTGCATGGATGAGCAAGGACCCGGACCTCGTCCACAGCGATGTAACCAGGATGACCCTTCAAAGAGACGGATTCAAATATGACCTGCAATACACAGGACTGACATCAGTTTCACAGAAGCAGTTGTCCATACCCACCTGAAGAAGCCACACAGCCCCCAATCCCTTTCTGTGTCAGTTTTCCCTCAGAACCAGGCACCAATGCCTCACAGTAGGAGAGGACACCAGCGCTCAAGCATTCACTCTGAGGGTTCAGAGAGACAGGATCTTGCCCCCCTCTGTCTGAGGATTTGGTAGAGATAAAATATCTCTCTAGTTTACTAGACCAATTAGAAAATGTGTGACATCCTGCTAGTTGACCTGAGTTTCCAAACAAGACAAAAAACATCTACACTCTGGTGACCCACAATAAAAGTAGCCATGTAGAACATTTTTAATGGATTTCAGAGATAACACAAGATCCCGGGTCCCCATCAGTACCTCCCTCATTGTGGTTCCAAATGAATTACAGAAGGAACTATTACAAATAGCCCAATTTCCTTACTGTCTTGGGAAACAGTGTAAGCCAAGGAGAGTTGATCCTGGTGTGACTCTATAGTCAACTTGAATTTCCTAAGTATGTGTGCGTGCGTGCATGCGTGTGTGCGTGTGTGTGTGTGTGTGTGTGTGTGTGTGTGATTTACATGTGTGCTCTGTTGCCATTCTTCAGGTGCCACCCATCTTAGTTTATGAGATAGGGTCTCTCACTTGGCTGAGAACTTTCCAGTTAAGCTAGACTGTCTGCGCCTGTCCAGCCCTGGGACTATAAGACTGTGCCACTAAGAGCCTGCCTCCTTTGTACAGGGGTGACAGAGTTCAAACTCGAGTCCTTGTGTTTACACAACAAGCACTTTGCTGGCTAAGCCATTTCCTAAGGCTTCCTGGATGTCTTCATCACACCTCTTAGAGACTAAAAGCAATCTATCCAGGAGTGAAAGGAAGCAAGAACTTTTCTCTTCTCCACTCTGAGCCCTACCCAAACTTTTTACTCCCACAAGGATGTTATAGTTCAGCTTCCCTTGTCTTCCCACCCAATTCACTGAGGAGGAATGAGTTCCCATGTGAATCCCATGGCCAGGATCTTTTACAGTACTAATTCGCACTCCCCCATCTACACTAGTTACATTCCTGAACTTGGACGTGACACTTTGCAATCCTCAGATTCTAACCCTCCAATCATCCCCAGCTCACTATTCTTTCATCCATTCCTGAGACCCACACAGTACCCGCATCTGCACTGCCCTGGAGTCTGCATATTCACCTAGAACTTCTGACCGTCTCTCCAGGCCCAGGCTCCTTCTACCACGGTGGCTAATCACCAAGGTGATTCTGCCTATAAAACTAGTTCCTTTGCACCTCCTTTTGAACCCTGTCAAGACGATTGTGGACCGTCCCTCTCCAGCCACAAATCCTACCCTGTGTTCTCCATCTTTCTATCTTCCACTCACCCTATATGAGAAGGCACTCCAGCTTCAAGATCAGGGAGGGGCTGACTTGTCCCTGTTAAACGCAAACCTACCCTTCTTCCACACCAACCACAATCTCTGCAAGTAAGTCAATATACTTGAACCTAGCTGATCCCTGTTGAAGTTTCCAGAATTTTGACTCTTCTTGACTTTTCTTTTCTACTCTATTTCTAGGCTCTCCCCTTTTTCCCTCTGACCTTAACATATATAAATGGTATCAGCTTTTCCTAGTATTAAAAAAAACTCCCTTTTTGTAGGAAGCTCTTCTCTGTGGTCAATTGTATTTCAATCACAATTCTTAGTAGTTTAATAATGCCATTCATATCACTTCCTTACTTCCTCCACAAAATGTTAAGTATAAAAATCCCAATCAATGGCCAGGCGGTAGTGGCGCACGCCTTTAATCCCAGCACTCAGGAGGCAGAGACAGGCAGATCTCTGTGAGTTTGAGGCCAGTCTGGGCTACAGAGCAACTTTCGGGACAGGCTCCAAAGCTATACAGAGAAACCCTGCCTCGAAAAAAATAAATCCCAATCAGTCACAAATATCTCTCTCAAGACTGCTTTTATGACAGACACTAATATTCTAATTACTAAATCTGATAAAAATTCTCCAAATCTTTCTCCTATTTTCAGAAGGAAGATGATGGGACTGGAGGAATGGCTCAGCAGTTAAGAGCATGGGCAGTTCTTCCAGAGACCCTGAGTTCAATTCCCAGCAATCATACTGTGGCTAACAATCTTCTATAACTGTAGTCCCATGGGACCTGATGCCCTCTTCTGGAATACGTAGACAAAAAAATCTGTATACATAAATAAAATATTACATAAAAAGAAGAAGAAAGAGCTCTGTGTTTTGAGCCCCAGTGTCTGGGCAATATTGACCCCATTAGATAACTTTTCAGGTGGAGAGAATTAATATCCTATTGAAAATGTTGCACCCATGGCATTCTCAATAAATGTATACTATAGTTGTTATTACTTCTTAAACATGCTTCTGGAATTGCCAGTATCCACAGCTTCTCTCTTTCCATCTCTGCTTAGGCTCAGAGGATATTTCATATTTGATTTTTCTCATATCTATGAGACCATCCCCCGTAAGTTTATAGGCATTCCTCCTTCTCCATCCCTTTGGAGATTGCGTCTCCTCTACTCATCATCTGACTGTTTCCTAGGATCCATCTAATAAAAAATATGGAAAAACAGAGGCATATTTGAGAAATTCTAAGGTAGAATCAAAAGGAAACTGAAGATAAGGGATGGGGTTGAAGTAGGAGTCCATGTAGGTGGCGAGAACTCCAGCTCGGATTAGTGGATTCAGCCACTGCCAATTCATTGGTAACTCCAAGCCCAGCTCTATGTCCTATGTCTTTCCTCAGAGCATTAGTCAGCATCATCTAACCAGTTCATCGTTCTGAATTACTATACATATCATGACATTTCCTCATATGCAATCAATACATAACAGTTCTGAGCCTGTTTTCCCTCAGTGTTCTACCTTACACCCAATGGGTCATCCCTCCTAAAATATAGGACTATTCCCTCCCCACTAATCATAGCTGGAGTCCTGAGCACCTATATTGGCTTCTACTTCAACCTTATCCCTTATCTTCAGTTTCTTTTTGACTCTACCATAGTAGAATTTCTCAAATATGCCCCTGTTTTTCCATCTCTTTTATTAGACAGATCATAGGAAACAGCCATTTGTTTGTCAAAGCCAGTCAGGTATCAGTGCCAGTATTTAATTCAGCCTATAATTGTTTCTCACGTCGACCACAGTGATGACCTCCAAGATGAATCCCCTGTCACTAGACTCAGCTCAAGTCTGTGGTTGGACAACAAAGTAGGTGCTGAGATCAATAGGAAATCTCCATGGGGAACCATGTTGTTCAGGCCAGCGGATTCAAAGGTTAGAGCTCTCAGTGGGTCCTGGAGCTCTAATGATTATACTAAGAGAGCGGGAAGAGAAGGTGGCAATAGCTGTGAAGAGACGGTTTCCTTGGTGATAAGATCACCAGTGAAATCTGAGAGTTCCGTGAAATGATGATGGGAGTGACAGACATGCAACAACATAGGGGCTTCTGCATAATGACCACTCTAGAAAAGTGTTTTCAAAAAAAATACAGTCCTTCAGAGAGAATTAATACATGGGATTGTGCATGACCTGAAAAAAAGCATGTAGAGATAAAAAAAAAGATATTTTCTTCATCCTGCAGAAGGGGAAATCTATCAACATTGTTCTATAAAGAACCAGGTGTCTACTTGCGCATCTGTGTGTGAGTGTGTGTGTGTGTGTGTGTGTGTGTGTGCACGAGAGAGAGTTTAAGTAATTCAATGGAAAAAAAACAAAGTAAAGTCCATAGACAAAAAGAAAATAAAGTAAATATATTTCAAAAGAAATAGCAGAAAAGCATTCACACTGTGAAATAAAAAATGACAAACCCAAGAAAAAAATGTTTCTGTTTTGACAATAAATATAAATGGGTTAAAATAGAGGAAAACACCCAGGCTGTCTAAATAATCAAAGTCTAATTGTATGCAGTAAGATAAACACCTAAGGCAGAATAACTCAGTAACCTTACAAATAACACGTGGAACAAAGACACAATAAGAAAAATGCAAGCGAACAGAAAACAGTTGTTACAAAAAATAATGGGATTGTTTCAAAGTAGATTTTTAACCAAACTGAAAAGTATGGCCATTAAGTAGACTAAACTGACCATTAAAAATTGTATTCAAAGTCCCTCAAGACAAGAGACTTGAAAGGAAAATAATGATAGGATCTAAAGATTTTGATCTATTTCTTGGTCAATCACATAGATCAATCAATAGAAAAACCAATACGGCAACTATATATTTTTCCTAAGTGTGTTACTAAATATTTTGAGAAATCAAACCTTCTGTTCAAATGCTCACAGATTTATAAAGTGATCACAAGCTACATTACAGTGTAACACCAATAAGTCTCCCAATGAATAAAATTTGTATAGGTTTGGTTTTATATGTTTTTGAAACCAAATTTCCTAAAACTAGAAAATAATAACAATCATAAAAATCAAGTTCTTAAATTACCAATGCATATTAATAACTATGCTGTCAGAGTATGTTTCTTATGTTAACAAGAGTCTGAAAAAGCTCAAGAGTCAAATGACAACCTGAGAACAAGACATGTAATATTTATGCCAGTTAATATTTATGCCAGTTATTTGGGGACTTCCAAAGAATTATTGATAGCCAAGAAAAGAAATTATTAGTCTTCCTCCATGACCCTCCCCCCAAAATCTGGCAAGTAATTCCAGTAGGAAAATCACAAAAAATAAAATAGGAATGATATTAATCTCTGAGTGCAAATCTCTTAAATGTCATGGAAGATGTTCAGAGGTGTTTCAGAAGACCCTTGCTGTGCTGAGTGGCAGAGACCGCTCCACAGCTCTGCATTGGGATGGGAGGTGTCAATCACTGGCTAGGTCTTAGCCAGGGCCATTTTCTAAGGACAGATACCACAAAGGAGGATGTCAATCTCCTGTAGAGGGAAAGTCCACCTAGGAGCTGTGAACAGAGAAATAATGGCCAACTTTGGT